TTTAATTATCGACATTGAAAATTTGATGAAATACACGATTCGCGGGAAAAAACGTTAACTTTGTGATTGAGAAGAACGCAAAATGAGCGAGTGAGCAAAAATGTCAACCAAAATGAGCTAGTGAGCCAAAATGAGCCATATAGGAGGAACTGGCTCACTGGCTCAGTTCAGTGAGCCATTCATTTTAGCTCACTCACTCATGAGCTACCCAAGTCTATCCTACACTAAATACAACAGCAGTTGGTTGTCGTGATTTGCACGTGTTTACATATATTGTTTTTCTAACTTTTATTAATTTGCTCAAAATGGCTTTTGGACGTCCTCGTGGAGGTAGTGGCAAAGGTAAGCCAATGTACTGATTTTTTATTCAAGTACATATACATACATATGTACATATGTGAATCATTACATTATTTCCATCAATAAACGTTTGTATGTAGGCTTTCGCGGATCTGGAGGTGGTGGAGGGCGAGGAGGTGGTGCTTTCAACAGATCTGCAGGTGGAGGATTCGGCAGGGGCGGCTCTCGTGGTGGTCGTGGGACTTTTGATCAGGGCCCACCCGAACGTGTTATTGCCTTGGGAAACCTCAGTTATATATGCCAGAATGATATAGTTTGTAAAGTAGATATAGACGATGTACCATATTTCAATGCACCAATATTTCTGGAAAACAAGGAGCAGATCGGAAAAATTGACGAAATTTTCGGAACAGTTCGTGACTACTCTGTTTCCATAAAGCTGTCTGATAATATATATGCAAATAGTTTTAAGCCGAATCAAACATTGTTCATTGACCCCGGAAAGCTGCTGCCGATTGCAAGATTTCTGCCAAAGCCACCACAGACAAAAGGTCAAAAAAAGAGAGGCGGTCTTAGTGGTGGTGCACGAGGTGGACGTGGAGCAGCCATGGGTTCGTACACAAAGCACATTAAACATGCGTATTATAACAATCTAATATTATTTAATTTAGGAAATCGTGGAGGACGTGGCGCCGGTGGATTTAGAGGTAGTTCAATTCGTGGAGGCGGATTTAATAAAGGACGTGGTGGAGCAGGCGGAGGACGTGGGCGTTGGTAATAAAAAATCAAATGTTTAATAAAATAATATAAAAGTCGAGATTTGGTTGATAAATCTTAAATTGTTTTAATATTTTATTAAGTACTGACCACGATACATGCAAAATATTGTGCATTTTTGTGGGCATGTACATATATGTTTAGGTATGTATATTTATGTACATTTTGTAGTATTTAGTGCAATTATTTATTGTGTATTTGTTGCTTGACATAGATGTGTTATTTTGAGTAAGGAAGATTTAGAGGCCCTTTAAATTTGTATCATTTATATTTTCAACATTTTTAGTGTTGGTATTAAGATCCAACGCCTCCTTTATACTTCGAGAAATGCTTTTCTTTCGGGTCGAAGATGGGACAAGCGAGTCTTGTATCTTGTGGCTTAATAGATTTGTTTCCGACAGTAGATTCGATTGAATTGTGTTATATATGCGATCGCTATAGTTGGAACTGTAGCGAAATGAACGAGGGTGAAGTCCTTGCCAGAGATCAAAATCTTTTTGCCGACGCGCCTTAGTTTCTGCATAGATGTGCTGCCAAAGAATTAATTATTAGCTTATTCCCGTATAAAACCGTATATAT